ATAGGTTTCGACTAAAGGTTTCAGGGAAGCAGATTTGAACGATAATATCTGGGATTCTGAGTGAAAAGCTAAATTCGTCTTTCTAACAAATAGATACAGAGGAGCTGAATAACCAAAAGGTGCACAAATATTTTCCGCTTTAGAATCTTTTCTTACCACTGCTGGTAGTTCACGTTAGTGTATCAAAAAATCGGAACAATGACCATCCAAAAATGTGTCTTTTACGGAACGATAATAGATACACCTGATCCGCTGACACTACGAGTTAGAAAACACCATGTTTGCGTCGTAAACAAAGGCAGAATCGAAATCATTGAACCGTCTGCTAGCCGAAATCTTGACGAACACCAAGACTACGTGTTCATCAAGCTAAGTGAAAGTCAATTTATCTGTCCTGGATTTGTCGATTTACACTGTCACGCTCCTCAGTATCGACAAGTCGGGAGTGCAACAGAAGTTTCTCTTCTCGAATGGCTCACTAAATTCACTTTTCCAAACGAAGCTCGATGTTCTGATCCTTCGTATGCTCAGGATCTTTATACAAAACTGGTCTCTAGATTATTGCGCAATGGTACGACGACGGCTCAGTATTTTGCGACGATACACCTTGAAGCAACAAAAATTCTAGCTGAAATTTGTCAAGAAAAAGGCCAGCGAGCATATATCGGCAAAGTATGTGCAGATCAAAATTCACCAGATTTTTATATCGAGACGACAGATGAAGGCGTTAGGAATACAGAAGAATTTATCAACTATGTCCACCATATGCAAAAAGGAAGAGACATTGCTGGAACGAACGCTTTGATACATCCCGTCATTACTCCCAGATTTATACCAACATGCTCGATAAATATGCTTTCTCAACTAGGACAATTAGCGAAGAAATATGATGTTCACATACAATCACACATTGCAGAAACAGCAGATCAGGTTGCGTTCGTACATTATCTTTATCCTAGTATTGGAGACGGACGAGATGTAGCCATATTTCGCGAAACTGGCCTCTTGACAAACAAAGCAGTTTTTGCTCATGGAGTCTATTTGGCAGACAACGAGGTTGACGAAATGGTTGCAAGCGGAAGCGGGGTAGCCAGCTGTCCGATTGCAAACTTTCTTTTCTCCAAAGGGATCACGGCGATAGAACATCTTAGAAGAAGAGGATTGAACGTTGGTTTGGGAACGGATATTGGGGGAGCATATTCGAGCAGCATGCTTCCTGTCGTGCGAGCTGCTGTTTTTGCAAACAGAACGATGGATTTTGTCTCTTTTGATCGTTCAAATGCTACATTACCATTTTTTCCTGAGCACAAGGATGCTGTTGTCGATTTTAAATTCGCATTCTATTTGGCCACTCTTGGAGGCGCACGGGCTTTGAATATCGATTCACAAATTGGAAGTTTTGAAGTGGGAAAGCAATTTGATGCATTGCTTATAGATTGTAACAAGGAGAGTCAAGCGTTTGATTATTGGAATGAGGATGAAATGGATATTATATTTGAGAAATGGGTGAATGCAGGAGATGATAGGAATATTACTGGAGTTTGGGTTCAGGGAGTAAAAGTATGATGCACTTCGTATAGTATAACTATTGGTAAACTGTAAATTCAGTAATGTCTGGCAACTTTTTCATTTCTACATGGATGTTGAAATATTTTGTAATGTTAGTTTTTTATTTTAATAAACTAGCAATTATTTTTGTTGCTTGATTCACAGTATCAGGATGCAATTGACCAATGTTGAATGACTGACTATACAGATGAATGACATCCATCGTAACAAGTTCTTGATTATTTGTAAGATGCTGATAAGGCACACTTGCAGTTAACAATAGATGTATGCACCATTCGATAGCGAATCCAACGGCAATCATAAATATATTGTGCCCAGATTCTTGGAAGACTTTTTTCCCGTCGGAAAAACGAGAAAACTTCAGATGACCCGAAACTAAATCTTTGGCGAACCCCCGAAACCGAGACAGATGAGGGCGTGCATGCAAACTTTGCAAACCTATCTAGTTTCTTGTGGAAGGCCGTAGAGCCTCACCTTCATCTGTCTCATTTTCGGGGGTTCGCCAAAAATTTAGTTTTCGGTCTGAAACTTTGAAACGCACATGGCTAGGTTCAGTTTTCAACGTTCAATCTGAATATTCCAACCGCAAAGCTCGACGACGTTTCACGGCGAAACTATAGAGCTTTTTCTAAAAGCTGGTGTTTTTCCGGTTTTCGGGTCATCTGAAGTTTTCTCGTTTTTCCGACGGGAAAAAAGTCTCCCAAGAATCTGGGCACAATATATTCATGATTGCCGTTGGATTTTTTATCGAATGGTGTATACATCTATTTTAACTGCAAGTGTGCCTTATCGGCATCTTAGAAAACCCTTTTTTGTATTATTATTTCTAGGAATCATTTGGCTTAATGAAACAATCTTCTGGGTCGAGGCGGATCAGAGTCAGATTTAATTGTGTTCCATATCTACTTCCTCCGCAGTTTCTCGTAACGACCGAATGTGCTTTAGCGATGCAATTACATATCTTAGAATCTGACACTCAGATAAATAACTTCAGAAAGCGCTATTAAATGATAGAACGAAAAATGAGTTTAGCGGTTTTGAATTAAAGACGTCACACTCATCCGAATATGTATAAGAAATTGTGACAGAGATAAGGTGCCGGTACTTACCAGCGCACTTTTTTAGCGAAAAAAATTCCAAAACTTTGGATGCCCAAAACACCCGAAACCGTTAGTTTTCACAAAAGAATGCCTAATGCCCTGCCAAAGCATACTAGAGCTCTGAGATATCGTTTTTCAGAATCAGCGTCAAAAACTGGGTATACAAAACTATTTTTCAACGTTTCGCGCTAAAAACTGAATTTTTGACCCCACTACGTGGCCCCAATGTTCGAAGTGCTTATATCTTATCTTGCGAACCTATCTAGTTTTTGTGTTGAGAGATGGCACCCCGAATCCTACGACAACTGATGCGCCTTGACGAGTACTATAAAAGTACGTTTCGATTTTTTCGAAACCCCTTCGGAAAAACAAATTTTTATTAAAAAGTAGGTGATTTTGCTCAAGATCGGACAGGTCATCCGCGAATAAATCCGCCAGCTTTCATCCGAACTGAGTGAAATTTGGTTCTATGGACAGGCTTTGATGCTGAACTCGATGGAATCACTTTCAGGTTTTCCAAAAACCCACCAGGAGATTTTCTAGAAAACCGAATCTCCAGAAAAACAAAAGTGTGCTGAAAAAGTTAAAAACTAGTTTTTCACGATGAGCTCGACCTCCTCTTCCGATTGATGTATAAATGAGCCAAAAATAAAAAGTGCTGTAACTCTGAATTACCGGTACCTTATATTTGTGCAGTTTAGTGAACTACCTATGCAATGATCTATTACTTTTCAGATGACAATACAATATGAGCAATACATGAAGTTCTTATAAAACACGTTTGGAACCATTCAATAAAGTACAACGAGTGGCATCTCGAATAATATGTGGTGATTTCGCCTTATCAAAGTCTCGAGTTGCCTTTAAGACACAACTAGAGCCTCTCGATCGCCGTAGGAAAACAGCCAGACTGAAATACTTCTGGAAAGTTATGAAAGAAAGGACGGCTCTTGCTCGATTTGGTCTACGCCAACGGATGGCCGATCGACGTACACTGCGAAAAAGAAATTCTCTTATGTTTTCAGTACCCAAATCTAAAAAAGATGTTCTCAAGAAGACGTTTTTAGTTAGAACAGTAAAGGAGTGGAACGGTCTTCCTAATTCTATAGTTTTATCACCCACAGTAAAAAGTTTTGCCACTAACTTAGAACAACACTTAAAGTGTCGACTGCCTATCTATGTATTTGCTGTCTTATTTTTCATCCTTTATTTTTATACATATTGCATACATTAATTCATCTAGGTTGGACACCTTTACAAGAAATGTATTAATTTACGTCGCTTTTGTCGCAATGTTTGTTAAGTTTGTTTTCTCTTTTCTATCTGCATGTGAACTCAGCTTTACTAAATAAATAAACGGAAATGGAGTTTAATTTTGGATGCATTTTTTTATTCCATGACAGATTCGATTCGACTTTTTTGAATGTCGAATTATTCGATTTGTTGTGAAATAAAGTTGTGTGCAGTAGTCATATTAGTAGACAGTAGTCAAGTACCGGTTCCAACTCTGCTCAGTAAGATCTGTGTGTCGCGCGTCAACGTAATCGAGCACGGTAATGCATAATCCCCGTAAAAACCGTTTCTTTACACAATAATCATATTTTCATATGGTTTCATAATCTGAATTGGAAGATTATACTCTCCCGCTACGCTCACAAATTTTTTGAACGAAAGATTTATCGAAAAAAACTTTTCTTTCGTCTGTAATCCAAATTTGTCTGGAAGTAAAATTTTTGCCTGCTACAGTTTTACAGGAAAAAACGCACAAGGATAAAAATTTGACTAAAAAAGTGATACTAAATTACATGTTACTCAGTTGCTTGAATAAGTTTGACCACTGACTTGTTGCTCGGTAAAAAACAGGTACTTTTCCTAACGGAGCATCAATTTCCCATTCACCCTTGTTATACTTTTCATTTGACCATAAATGAAGCCAATCCTCATTTGACGGTATATAGACAGTCCATTTTCTCACATTAGGACGAACAACAGGCGCTACCAAAAGATCTGTACCAAACATATATTGCAATTCATATTTATCACTTAGAGCTTGCTCTAAATCATTAAAATGTATCCACATTGGTGTTAAACTCGGTATTCCTTCTTGTAGTGTCCTTTTGACGTAAGGTTTTAAATAAGCATAAATTCTGCTTGTTCTCGCCATGAATGCCTTTGTTTCATTATCATGATCAAACTGAACATTTAAATCAGGACGATTTCCTTCATGTGTTCGTAGAAAAGCATTAAAAGCTCCCATTTCACTCCATCTAAATAACAGCTCTTTTGAACGAATAAGTTTTGATTCATCACCCCGATCAAAACCAAAATATCCGCCAATATCCGAATGAGTATACAGACAACCACCACTCACACCAAGATTAAGCATTGAACGAATAGCAGCCGGAAATCCGTCATCACTGGCAAAATCAACACTCTGATCACCAGACCAGAACAGAGGACAATACTTTTGAATACCCAGATATCCTGCTCTCATGAAAAACACGACTTCTTCGGTTTTACCGGCATCTCTAATAGCTTCAAAATTACATTTTGCCCATAAAACAGGCCACAAATTATGAATCAATTCACCGCTGATATTCGTATGAACACGGACATCCACCGGTAAATATTCTCCAAAGTCAGCCATCCATCCCGAAACTCCAATATCAATAAGATTTTTTCTTATCACATTTTTATACCATTCAAAGGCTAATGGAAATGTTAAATCGATGATTGCACCAAAAAATTCACCAAAATCAATTTGATATATTTCATTTGTTTCGATCTTTCTAACGAGAAAATTCTTTTCACTTGCTTCCTTGTATAGCGGTCCGTCAGTCGCTATATACGGATTGATATAAGCTAGAAAGCTCGAGTTATACAATCGTTTCCATTCCTGAATTTTCTCTGGTAAATTGTGGTAGAGTATATCGCTGTACTGCCAATTCCAAAATACTCGTTTTCCAAATGATGTAATTCGTTTACCACACCAATCTTGTACCCAAATTCCAGCAACAGCTGTACCTGCTTCCACCATTTCCTTCATTTTTTGTTCGACTGTCTCTGTTCCTCCCTGAATACTCAATATAATACCGCTATGAACCCAGTCAGGTAGAGTAGGTAATGGATGAGGAGCCAGACGTTTGAGGAATGATAAATAATCACTATCTGCACTTTTTAAGAAAAATCGAAGTCGATAGGGTGTATTTGTGAAATGCAGCTCATGATAGTGTTCATTTTGAAAGTCAAATCTAGCATAAGCAGAACCGTATGCCACAAAGACATAGCCTCGTTGCGGTGAGATAAAACTTGGTTCAGGATGGTATGTGGTAGTTTTGGGCAATAAAGAACTTCCTGCACCATTGTCCAATCGTTCATGATATTGTTCAGAGACCCATATTGGAATAGTTTTTCCTCTTAAATTTGAGTATTTGTACTGTTGCCCACAGCCATAAATACTTTCTTTATTGAATGGTAAGGCTTTGATTCTAAACCAAATCTCTTTTACTATATCTTCATCTTCAATTATTGATTGAATGTAGGAATTTTGGTTAATATCGATGTCTACATGGTTTTTATCAAGTGTAAATGTTAATCTAAGGCCGGATTGCATCTGAATATTGTAGCTGTGTTTTCCATTTTCTTGAATTTTTTGTACTAATAAACTTGTTTTATTATGAATATTTTGATTAATAACAAAATGTCCCAAACGCATAGAATAATCAGTAGTTGATGAGCCAGTATAGATGAATGGTTCATGTAGAGAATGACTAAATAATGGTTCTCCCATCCAGAGTAATTTGAATGATCCATTTTCTTCATAAATAAAATTCATCTCAGCTTTCGCTAAGTGAAGAAATAATAAAAATAAAGAAAAAATTCGTCATCTCTTATCTCACGTGTAGTTTTCAATTACTTTTCAGGTTTTAATAGGTAAAATATGAAAGAAAAGCTAAGTCATGAAGTCTTCTATTTACTTGATTTAAGCAAAGGTTGAGGTGAAGATAAAAATGAGTGATCAAGTCTTTCATCAAATATCGACACTTTGGACGTAGTTGTTTCTAATCTTAATAAATATAACATTATCTTTGCTGTTACAACAGTTTCTGACTACCAAAGTTGTGATTACTATTATTCATCGTTTTTTTTCTAGAAAGTAATTCTTTCGGAAAGACAAAACACTCTGAACTTCTAAATTTTTTCCACTGTAAATTTTTAGCTCGGAGAAAATGATCCGAACTCTATTTTTTACTTAAAAGTAACTGATAAAAATGAGTTTTGCTAAAATTCATTAAAACAACAAAAAATCATGAAGGAGATTACTCGAAAGCTCAGAATTTTGTGAGCATAGGGAGTTCCACGTGCTCTATCGAATGAACTTTGAACGAAACTGTAATATTTTATCGCTAAGTCAAAAAATGGATTTTAATTTTTTTCAAAATGCCATCAAAACGCGCATATCTCCCGGAGCATACATTTCCGCCTCCTGAAGCTTGAGATTCGGATAGAGCTCAAAAGTCTGAGTATATACAAACATGTTGAGCATATGTTTTGGCGGCTGCTTTATGCCGATCTGTGTATATTTGAAAAATTGAATAAATCGGGCATAAAACAAGCACATGATACCACATGGACGCGCTGTATAGGAGAGAAAAGAAAAAATTGTGTTTTCTTTCATATACACCAGATGATAATAAATGACTAATAAAATAAACTCATATAAATAACTCAATAAAATAAACTCAAAAAACCACAATAACCACATTCTAACAACCATTATTAAAGAAAATATTAAAACAACACCATATTTTATACTTAACCCTAAGCCCAAATATATAAAACTATAATAATTAACCAAAAGAAAAACCATAATAAGATAAACATTAATTATTAAAAACTTAAACTTAAAAAATTCTAACTGTTCATCGAATTGCTTCCTCCTTTCGATTTCTAGCCCGTACACAAAAAGGAAGAGTTCAGTTTTGTTTGTTCTTTTTATGTTTTACAATCGTAGTTCATTGTTTGAAAAACAACAGAATGAATCTTCGTCGAACTCAACATCCGGCGCACTATTATATACAGCTCCATAAAGGTAGAGTCCTGCTGGTTACGACTTTTTGACAATCAATAACCTAACCTATAAAAATTCTCACAACCTAAACCTAACCTAACCTAGGTTAACCTAATACAACCTTTTGCAATTTTTTCCCAAAACCTGGTTTTAGAAGCCTAAACTTCAGCTTTGTTTCATATCGTTATTATTTTTTATCTAAACACCGTCTGAAAGGTAAGCTTATACAAAATAAATCACATTTTACATGAATATAGAAACGAATCGGTAAACGGCATGGCCAGCTAACGGTCCATGTTCGGATGAGAAGATTCAAATTTTTGTTTTAACTTGAGCAAAGCTTAAAAGTACATTATCAGACGCAGTTTTTCACGTTGATTACAAATTTGGACTCAAAGACAAATGAAAGTCAAATCTTCATGGAGAAAATTTAAATTTTTGAATTTTAAATTTAAATTCCTGGATATTTTTTCCAAAGATTCTGAAAACTATACCGTCGGATAGAAAATCAAATCCTCTACCAAAGGGCTCATTTGTGTTTGACGTTTAGATGCCAAATTTTGTTTTTATTTTCTAAAAAAAGTTTTGGCGCTTATTTTGTGAGCGGTTTTATGCCCATTTAATCTAACTTTGAAAATTTATTTTGGGCTGCATCGGAAGAAGGGCACCTCAAACTATCTATCTATGTGCAAATCAGAGCTTGCTAAGTAGTTCTGTGACAGGAAAAATATATACCAAACCATCTGCAAAGAAGAGCAAAAAACGGTGAAATTCCCGTAACGGTCGTTTTTATTCGGTTCCTCTGCCAGGGAACTAATTCAAGAAAAGGTTAGTAATGATTCTGATAACTCAAACTGTGAGCTTTAATTTGATAATTAAGCACTCATTCTAAAATTATTTAAGGCTGAATAATTTACATTTTACTGGAATACCCCAAAAAACACTTCCATTTTTTGAAATTTCGTAATGGCCTCTATTTTGACTGTAACTTTTGATTCGCTTGTCCAACCAAGCTCAAATAATTTTTAGTTGGAGAACTGCCTCATATCCGTCAAGGTATAAATTTCATTGATATATTGAAAAATAAAAATTAAGTTTATCATATTTCAAAGAACTTAGATAAGATCTTCTACTAGTTCTTTGAAAACGCGAAGAATACGTTTTTTTAAAGTGTTTTGTTGAGGCGTCCATTCTTCTCTTAATTAAATATATGTTAAACGTGGATACGGGGATGATGGGCCCTAAAAAGAAAGGACAATATTTGCAACGGACTCGAACCTTTGTATTGAATCAAATCAAATCATCGAAAAACTTTTTGCTTTTCTTTCGGGGCGACATGACAGTTAGAGGCAAAAATCGCGAATGCAGCTAATGCACTAAGATTTTAAAAGAAAAAGTTAGTTACCGGACTGTTTTGTTTTTGAATCAGAAGGCTCAGTTTCTTCCTCGAATGACGATGATGGCGTTTCTGGCTGTGGAAGCTGCTTTTTAACTAAAATATAATTCCAAGCGGACAAGGAAAAATTAGCAAGTCAAAGTTCAGCGATGTCCAAATTATGAGGACGTCTGTAAAGTTACTTGCCTGTTTGATCTTTCGTTGTCTGAAGTGAAGGAGCATCATCTTCATCATCGGATGATGAAGTGCTATCAGCTGTTGCTTTAAACGTCACCAGTTTTTCATCACAGATAACAGCTAACGATTATAAATATAATTGTTGAAAAATTGCTTTCACATACTTTATTTTCAAAATTTTTTCAGCTCTTTGACGCACAAAGACATGACTATTTTTGTATTTTTGATTAATATCGTTAGCCAGCGCACTAAAGTCATGAATACGACCATGATTTGAAAATTCTTTTAAAATTAGACATACAAACTGACGTCTGCTTAAAATCAATCTCGTTCCTAAACGTAAAAAACTATTCATTAGAATTGCTCGTTTAAAAGTGCGACAACAAAAGCGTACTTTAACCTTCTTGTTTTTCAGCTTCTGACGGTTTTTTTTGAATTCACCTTTGACCGTCAACGTTTTCTAACCGTTTTCAACTTGAAGAATAAACTTCGATTTTGAATTTTGCGGCACAAACTCACGAATACAATCACCATTTTTACCTGGAGAGTAAATAGTAAGCGGAAATATAATAAATGAATTTTACTCACCATCTTCACTTTCATACAATATCACTAATTTGTTTTGAAATTCTGGTATTGTGCACGGTGTAATAAACAATGGCCAACCTTTATTACCTAGCAATTGATCTATATGATCAATAACTTGATCTAGTAAAAGCGATAGAGATAACATCAGATCCTACTAAAAATCCAAGCTAGCTTACTATAATTCTAGAATTTCTCGCTTAAAACTGCACGAAAAGGCATTGTCACAAATTGTTTTATCTGAAAACAACTGAAATTTATTGAAATCTTCTCCGTTTTAGAAGAAAACATGAAACTACTCTCCCCGCTACCGGACAAAAATAAAAATATATTTCTTACTATTTAAGAGTTCTCGCACTTTTGGTTCATCATGTAACAAGCAAAGATAATCCTCACTAATTTGGGCGAAAGCTCTAAGAACAAGACTCGTTATGGGAGTTATCCATTTACCTTTAGTTCTTAACTTTTGGAACAAGGTTAAAATATCATATATCGAAAAAGACTGCTTTCGAACTACTATCCATTTCAAAATAGAAAAAGGATGGTCATTTTCTCAATAACTTTTTCTAGGAAGCAGCTAAAAAGTTGCGGTTCAAAAGAAACATGTTGGGACTACAAGAAAAACTAAAAAGTTTTGTCCCAAAATTACCTGCAGGTGGTGTACCTTGCGAAGATATTTTGCGAAAGATGTCATACCACTGAAAAAGTTTCGGATTTTAACTTTTGAGACGACAGGCAGGTAGCCCGAACTGAGATATTCGTTTCTAGAGCAGTCCCAGGTCGTTAGCTTACAAGGTTCCGGAGCTAGAAAGGTTCTCCGGAGACCACGCTAATTCGGTCTGGACACGTCGGAAGATCTCGGAAAGACTTGAAAC